TGTTCCCACGGATTAATCGGCACTTAATCTAGGCTAATCTCAAACCAGAGGCCTTTATACTGGGGCTGAGCACATCATTCACAAGCCTCTTGAACATGTGTCAAATACAGGACTATACTGTTAGATAAAATGCATCCACACTTTCTATTAAATTGAATTTCAGAAATCAAATACCCAAATTAAATCCAAATGAAACTTCATTTAAAAAAATCTATTGAAAAATTAAAGAAAAGTTAGTTAGCAAAAGTAAAGAACCCAGTATACTCAAGTAAAATCACAGAAATCTTTTCAGGTTTAATTCTTCACTCAATTCGACAAGGTCAGACACGAGTAAAAACATGAATCCACTGGAGTGCTGAATTCTTGTGATCCTTGTTATTAGAGGCTTTATTAAAGGCAGAGTAAGCGATTTCTGGTAGCCAATGTTGATATTTGAAATCCCCAAAACAAACACGCCCCTACCCCAAAAGGGTCTTGCCCCTATTTTGATAACTCCGCCCCACACATACGTACACAACCCAGGCAACGATTAGTTCTGTGAAACAAAGCAAAACTGAGCAGCGCGGCGCAACAAATCCCAACAGAAACTGCTGCCGGGTTATATTTATGACGTGCTGACACAAATTTCAAATGGTTTTCAACGGTCATTTGATCGCGTCCAGTGTAGGCAGACTTTAGCTGTTGTAGACACGGTGTTACTCACCTATCGATAAGAAACAAAGCAACCTCGGCGTCCGATCGCAGGCCTCCGCTCCTTGAGTTCTCTCCATCGCTGGAAAGCTGATCCGATATTTACACCGATTAGTTCTGTGAAACAAAGCAAAACTGAGCAGCGCGGCGCAACAAATCCCAACAGAAACTGCTGCTGGGTTATATTTATGACGTGCTGACACAAATTTCTAATGGTTTTCAACGGTCATTTGATCGCGTCCAGTGTAGGCAGACTTTAGCTGTTGTAGACACGGTGTTACTCACCTATCGATAAGAAACAAAGCAACCTCGGCGTCCGATCGCAGGCCTCCGCTCCTTGAGTTCTCTCCATCGCTGGAAAGCTGATCCGATATTTACACAGGTCCTACTTCTTGCCTTATCGTTCCGCAGACGTTTTCCCTCTTTTGTTTTTTATCCGCCATCTATATCTTTCTGTCGCTCAGCTCGGCTAATGTCTGTCCTGTGCACTGAACGCTCTCTCCTCCACATCACGAGTAGACATGCCCCTTATTGCTGATTGGCTATAAGTTTGTTTTGCTATTCGGCCCAAATCAGTTTTCTAAAGTGTTTTTGAAAAATCACATACCCTGCCTTTAATTGTCCTTTCTACACTGCAGTTAGTTTAGCTGTGTGTTCTTGAATCAATGACATCATACATTTGATGGCAACACATATTTTAATGCATTCAAAAACTGCCAAAACCTTTTGCATTCCTGTCAGTTTTGACCCGGTGGAAAGTGAGCTTATAAAATGGTCATAACTTAATATTTTTCAAATAAAATGACATTGTATCTGATGAATAACTTCTCACTAATGAGAGTGTAACGAATCAGCTCATAGGAAATATGAAAAGTGAGCTTATAAAATGGTCATAACTTAATATTTTTCAAATAAAATGACATTGTATCTGATGAATAACTTCTCACTAATGAGAGTGTAAGGAATCAGCTCATAGGAAATATGAATAATTAACCATAACTAGTTATAATTAATTATGAATATTTTAGATCCGCTGTAGATATTTAGCTGACCTCTCAGGGTCAACTGTCTTGTCAATTCTAAGAACGTTAGTTTCCTGGTTAAGGGAAATAACTTCCTTACTGTAAAATTCTACAAAAGCTTGTAGCATAAATCTGCATGATTAAGTGACTCCAGTTATAAGCAAACAATGAACCACGTCAAGTGTGATACAAGTAAGGTTTTATTAACTACATAAA